TTTTTTTTGGTTACCGGGGATCAAACTCGGGACCTCGTGCTTGCGAGGCAGGTGGCAGAACCACTGAGCTAAATCCCTGGCCCTCTTAATTTTTATTTATATTTTCTGACTTATCTACAAGGATGCTATGTTATTTATATAATTATTTATAAGTTAAAAAAGAAAATAAATTCAAATTGCATAAGATTTCACTATCCAAGAAATCAATAACTTTAATCAAGATAACCCATCACCTAGAGGAGCAGAATCAATTTTTTTCCAAGGGTTGAGGTATGTCTTTTTTTCTTTCCAATCAGAATATTCCTGACAACTGTCACTGGGCTGGTCCCATGGCAATTCTGAAAAGGAAATCAGTTTTCTGAATGTTCATGTAGTTATTTATACAGTAAAGATTTCAAGGGAAAATAATCACTACACAAATCCATAAAACATATCCTCCAAATTAATTCAATATGCTTTCCAAACTAAAAAACTACATGTCAAGAAGCCAGGCCATAGCTCAATAATCATTAAAGACACATATTATCAAATATATACTGTCAATGCTGGACATGGTGGCACATGCACGCCTCTAATGCCAGCACTTAGGAGACTGAGGCAGGAGGATTGCCTCAAATTTGAGGCCAATCTGGGCTACATTGTTAGTTGGTGATCAGCCTGAACTATATAGCAAGACCCTGTCTCAAAAAACAACAAAAAACTACATTTCAACATTAATGGCACTTCAAAAAATAGATGAACTATTTCTTGTCCTACAAATAAAAAGCAGATAAAAGGAAACAGGGTGACAGATTTTTTGCAAATGGGAAGGAGACCTAGAGATGGAGAGGGGGAAGGTAAGGGCAAATAAAAAGAATTAAGATATATTACCAACACTAGATGATAAATGTAATCATTATGTACTGCAATCATGTACTAATAAAAAAAAGTGTTTACATGAAACTAAAAAGAGCTGGTTGTTGAGATTATTTATTTTTTAAATGTTTTTATTCATTTAATAGCTATATATACCTTATTTTTAAAGACCTTTGAGATTACAAATTCCAAGTTACTTACAAATTATTTACTACATGCAATGGACTACATGTTTGTTTTCCCAAATAATCTACATACTAAAATCCTAATCTACAACATGATGTGGTGTTTAGAGACAAGGCCTTTGGGAGGTGGAACATATTTGTGTTCTTATAAAAAAAAAAACTGAGTACATTATTTTTGCTCTCTCTGCTCTGTCATGTGAGAATACAGTAAGATAGCCATTTCACCTGCAAGCCAGGAAAGGGGTCTACTAGATCATGACCATGCTTGTACACTGACACAAACTTCTAGCCTCCAGAATTTCTAAAATATGTGTTTTGTACAAGCACCCCTCAACTCTGTTACTGTTACAGCAGTCCAAAGTGGTTAAGAAAGTATTAAAATGCTATTATATAAATATAGATTTCCCTTAAATTATTTTGGTAGGCAAATCTGACTTCCATAAGACAGAAGTTCTATCATGATTAAATGGCTCTTACCTCCAGCCAACATGGCAGTAAGCACTATTCCACAGGACCAAACATCAACTGGTTCTGCATGAAATTCCTTTCTCTTTAGAAGTTCTGGAGCAACATAAGGTAAAGTACCACACATCTTGTTCAATAAACGCTCACGATTATTATGCCGAAACACTGTGGCCAAGCCAAAGTCAGAGATTTTGAGGTTATCTAAAAGAAAAGAAAAAAAGGTACTGAATAATACAAATTTGCAGATAGATACACTTACAAAAATTAAGTTTCATTGGAAATATTGCTGGTGTTACTTAAGGTTTATACAACTTTTCTACCTTTGAAATGATCAAAGAAAATTTTTATTTTAAAAAGAAAAATGAAAAGACACCATCTATGCAAAAACTTGGAAAAAGCTTCATCTTTCCTATTCAAAAATATTAAAATGATATTTCTTTTTTTTGGAGGTGGGGGTATGCTGGGGATTGAACTCAGGACCTTGTGCTTGTGAGGCAGGCGGCGGCACCACTGAGCTAAATCTCCAATCCCCATAAGGTGATTTTTCTTAAGAGAAATATCACACATAAGACAGATCGGACTAGGTTAAAGAAAGATGCTGGAGTCAAAAGGGGCTGCCTTGTTAGAAAAGAACACTACAAACTTGGGCTGAAAGAAAGCAAGGCCCTTCACCACAAAGTGTGAAAGGCAGGAAGGAGACTTAAGTAATGTATTAGGCACAAATTTCACAGCAGTGAACAAACCAAGTTGTTAGGAGAAAATACAATAAGACATTCCAAACTAAAGATCTAGAAACTGTAACTTCTTGTCAAACTAGCTAAATTCGGGGGGCGGGGGTGGCTGAGAAATACTGTACAATAAATAAACCACAAGAACAAATTCCCGCCTACCTTCCCATCATCAACACACACAAACTGCAGGCAAAACTTTCAACTTAGATGTAGTGAATACCTGCTGTAACCAAGTGACAGAGGCTGTACTAGCCAGCACAGGGGCTAGGGAAATCCTCTGTTATCAGAATTTGTCAATGGCTACAACCTAGTCAGAGGCCAATCTGGCCAAAGATACCAAAATTTTACATATTTGCTCTTCAGAACTAGCAATTCCCACTTCTAGAACCATATCCACAGAAATGAACTCAAAAATTACAACATAAGGATATTCATAGCAATATTTTTTTGTAACTTAAATGTCCATCCATAAACGATTAAATCCTACATGTGTATAATGAAAACTAGGAAGGCAGTTAAAAAAAACAAAGTATATCTATCTATATGCACTAATATAGAAGAGGATATAAGTGGAGAAAATGGTAGGGCCATAATTAATACTTTTTGTTAAGTTTATTGGTACATTTTAGGTATACAATATGATGACATTCATCATTGGGGATTTGTACCTTTACATGATATATCTTGGTTCTTTTCTCCCCATTCCCTTGCCCTCCCTTCAACACTTCCACCCCTCCCTATTTACCCTATTCCACCCCTCCCTATTTGTTTCCATTTTTTCCCTTTCTCATATTTTTTCCTTTCCCTTCTTTCCTTTCCTACTCCTCCCACTTCTTCCTCCCCTTTAGACCTTTTCTTCCTGTTTCACATTATACATTTTGATTCTTATGTACTTGCAGTTTCTCACACCAGAGAAACTATTCAGTATTTACACGTGTCCTATTTCTTTCACTTAGTGTGGCCCCAATGTGCATCCATTTAGCTATAAATGACTCTGGTTTCTCATTCTGTATGGCTGAGTAGTACTCCATTTTATTTTTTTAAAAACACATTTTCTTTATTCAGTCTCCAGCTGATGGGCAACTGGGCTGTTTCCAAGCTTTAGCTCTTACAAACTGTGCTGCTATAAACATGGGTGCACATATATCGCTGTGGTATGATTCTTTTAATTCTTTTGGGAAGATACCCAGCAGGGGAATAGCTGGGTCAAATGGGACCTCTAATC